CTTTATGCATTCTTCCCCTCCATAATCGGGACTTCCTGAAGAGTCTCACAGGGTAGACGGGAACATACTCTCCCAGTTGTTTCACAAGTCCGGTTTTAAGCAAAAGCCACCTCTGTTTCCAAGATTCCTGCTTCTAGTCAGGAACCCAGATGATCTGAATAGCCCTGGTCCTCAATTTCATGTAATAAATCCGACTGAAATGCTTCACAAATTGAGAATTCTCTACAAACTTCGGTGTGTTCTTGGAGAAAGTAAGAACGCGATGATCTCTCTTACCTATAGGTGATTGCACGTGCAATCCAGTCAAGCAACCATGCTTTGTGATCACAACATCCAACGTGGAGGAGACACTCCTGATTCGATTTTGTTCCGAACCTTGATGTACTGTTCAAATTCATTCTCGTGCATCCACTGTGCCACTTCCTGCTCCTGGGTGTCTGTCTCTTTTACGGTGCTTCGCCCGCCAGCATAAAAACGTTTAGATAACCAACACTCAGGAAATTGAGGGCAGCAACCATAGCGTGCCTCAGTAGTGGACCAAGCTCTTGATCCTCCTCTCGTGTGGAGGATGGGCTACGCCAGACACATGCTAAAATCTCCAATCTGCTCCTCGCCCTTTAGAAACAAGATGCCACCTGAACGTTCGCTTTACTCATGATAATTGGAGCCTCCTAGTGATTATAGTGACGTTTGATAAGCAATAAGGCTTCTCTACCAGTTTGCTGGCCTGGTCTGTCTGTTCAGTAGCCCACAAAGTCAGTCAACAGATCATTAATCCTGTCGCTAAGGGAAAGCCAGGCCTCCGACACGACAGCCACATCAGCACGCTCACAGTACCTTATCAACTCTCCCCATTTGTTTCTCACACTACAGCAGTTGGTATACCATACATCTAGTCCTCCATGACGTGGTTGTTTCCCCATGGGTGTAGGACCCGAGGGGATAATCTGTTTCTTGACGCCGCTTCAATGCCATTTACTGCCTGAAACGTCGGATCAAGATTAGACTCTTTTAGATCTTCACGGTAAGAATCCTTGTATGCCTTCATCCGACTTGACTTGTTGTTTTAATACCTACAGGCTTTTTGCTCTTTAACTTAATAGGTCCACCAACGCTACCTTCCGAATTTTCTGAAACGCCCAGCTTAAACATATCAGAGTGTTTGTTTCCCATACCGATGTTTGAGACCATCGTAGCAGCCATTGGTTCTCGTGCATCTGGTGTTGTTCATGAAGCACCGCTTGTTCCTGGATGCACCGCCTATAAACTCATCACTACACCCTCGATATTTTCCTCGGGTACCCAGAATAAAGTTGTGTCTCCATTCTGGGTAACCTACACAGCTACGTGCAGCTCATGAGTTGTTCCCCTTGCAACCTGTGTGGTGCGGTGATTTGAGCACATGACTGCCTGTGTGATCGTAGCGCAGTCACGACCGGTTCCATTTGATGTTAGTGTAGCGTGATGTTGACTGACACTAGACCCAGTAATCTCAGACGCAGGGTCGCTTTTCAAGTGGCGGTTAGTACCATCGGGCAGACTTTAGTACGTGGAAATAACTTTTGAAGTAATTGTGTCCGGTGCTATGTCTGTAGTGTGGTAGCTCAAACAGATGACTGCCACTGTAGTAGGACAATCGTTTATAGCATGTGCTAGTGCAATGCGAGGCTCAGACAAATGAGATCCATTAACCAGATTCGCAGATTCGACAACTAAGTTGTTAGTAGTGTCTTCCGACCGGTCTATTCGTTGGACTTTAGCTTGTGAGTTAAATGTGTCCGGTGCCACCTGATACCGCCCGTTGGTCTGACTCGCCACTAAGCAGGCCCTGTTAAGCATTTGCTCCCGGTGAACAGGGTTCTTCAACTCAACCAGAATAAGTCTGGCAATTGCTTGCCGATGCAGCCCAGATTCTCTCCAGCTGCCAACACGATGCACTCTTTTTATATTGAGATGTAACGGTATCCCGGTTAAACGAATGATAGCGTACATTTGTCTCCTATTGAGATCCCGATGAGTCTTGGCCTCGCGTATCACGGGCTCCTCACGAGTGTAGACAAGGAGGTTACTTTGCCCACCCATAACAATTTCCGCCCCTCGAGCATAGCAATCTAGGGCATAACGCAATTCGTCTGCCTTTGCACGCAATATACCAATGGGCGAACTATGTTGACGAATTATTTTTTGTTGTTGTGGTGAGCAAATGCAGATACTTCTTGTCAACAACATCCTGTGTATCAGAAAGACCAAGAGTTGGATCAGAAAACCGATCGTGAATTAAGCGAGCACGAGTGTCAGCTAAGCACACCAATGGAAACAGATCCCCTTCACTTGAGAATGACGGACGTACAGCTCAATCGAGGCCTGATCCAACCTAGAGCAATGGTTGTAATCCCACACTGTATCCTCTTCTTTACTGCGATACCCCAACTGTGCTGGCCACATTTATAGTTAGGAGCAGAAGCCATCGTTGTTCAGAAAATGGAACCAAAAACACAAACAAACAAAAGATATCAGTAGGTGTAGGAAGAATACTTCAAAGAACTAACTCATGAGGAAGACAACGCCTTCGGATCATGCATAGTCCTGGTGCGATTAGGACTCGAGTCTGTTGTAGCAAAGAGCGCAACTCGAATGTCGGAATGTTCGAAGCTCTGGTTCATTTGTCAGCAGAAGATACAGTTGGGCAAAGGCAGCCGTAGTGGCGTCACGTACGATCTACCCAGGATTAGAGTAAGCGCCAGAAGATTCGGAGCCGAATCGTCAGGCCCCCGATAGGTGACACGCGTAGTCTCAAATTCTCCAAAAAATCAACGCAGCGCAGTGCTACTGACCTTGAAATAGTGTAACCGCAAAAGGTCAATAATATCTGGTGAAAACTGGTGAATCACCGCCAGATAAGTCAAAAACGACGCTCCAATGAAAACGCAACGGCTGATATAAAATTAGTCACATCTAGACTCCGTCAGACAGTAATCACACACCCAGGAATTAATCGGTGAACTTGAACAGGAATTCACAGTCCCTCTCCTGTGGAAATGATCCAAAATGTTGTGACGACAGGATTTGTAGGAGGATGGCCGGGTCCTAATGGATCACAAGTCGTCTTTGTAATCCGAGGGCTCGGGTTCCAGCCTACTTAAGGGAACAGCCGACCCTCGCGTAACGTCGGTATTTCGTAAGCGCAATTTGCCTAATCGCGAAGATCAGGATTGTAAGGTTCGATTGTCTTGCGCTCATTTGCTTGCTGGCCTGCAGCTGGGGAGTACCAATTAACACACGGATTTCAGTCACAGACCTTATGTGCACGAGTTGGAGTCGTTGGCCACAGGACGCAGTGGGTCATTTCACTTTGTGAGAGCACGAGCAAAAATTCAGGAACTTTTCGGCTACTTGCACAGCTGTTTTTGGCGCTTTTCAGGGCTAGACTATGCTGTGTGGCTTGTGAGCTGCTGGAACTGAAACATTAACAGTAACATCCTTCTGCTCCTTAGTAATGCAAGTAGTCTGAATTTAACATATCCGGTTAAACGACACGGTTGTTTTGTAGTGGATATGGGCAAAACGGAATGTACAGATGTCAGTGGGCAGCTGAAAAACATCCGCACTCCTAGCTTTAGGTTAGCAGATGTAAATCGTTATGAGTTTAGACAAGAAATCTCCTGGGCAAATGATTTTGTGTTGCGACCCCGATGCCTTGTTGGGCTATTCCATCTGCCTCTGAATACCGACGGTCCATGCCGCAGGCAACTTCAGCGCTGTGATCAGTATTGTGATGCTGTTTTTGAACAGGCTGCGGTTGACGGAAACACAACAGCAAATGCATCCGGATTAGTTTAACATAGTATGGGGATGTTCGGTACCTTCCATTTGCTGCATATCACTGATTCGCAGGCAACCAACAATTTAGACACTTCATGTGTTGTGTTCTCATGAGGTAAAACTTCAGTGTTGGCTTTGCGGTTCTTGGTGACTATCAATTAAAGAGTACCTAGCTGAGTTACAAATGGATGACTCAGGGAATACTAACTGAATATCACAACCTTTTAATTACCAAGCTCCGCTTTCAACACTTATCTCAACGATTGGGGACTAAATTAGCCAATTGTGGGTTGCTTTTGCTAACAAGTTGGTTTGAGTGGCAGTGCCAACTCTAAACCAATATTCTGTTGTACTTTGAGGCAAGCTGTGTTAATCCAATTCTCCCGGGTAGTGTAGGTGTACAGTGTTACTCAGTTAAGAGTGAATCACTGGAGACATCATAATGGTATACTTTACTCAAAACATGTAGGAGCAACTCAACTCCAGCTTTACCACACATCAAGTGAATTCAACATATTTTCGAACGGTCTGGATGTATTACTTTTCAGAAAATCTAATGAGCATGCTCGTAGGATAGTTTGACCAGCACCTCTCCAAGCTAGCTTACCCTTGTAACCACCCGTGGTATGAGTTAGCCGAGAGATGCAGATTTATCGCTCGCTGTGGCATCAAAACCAAACCAAAGTATCGGTCTTAAAGTTGGTGCAACATGCTGGATGCTCTAAATTCCAAGGGCAAATCAGGAATTACTCCTCGCTACATAGGTTGTTCACTAGGAATTACTACTTATTCGGCACCAGCTTTGTATTCTCTTTTCCCAATATCGTGCTCAGCATATCCAATTTACATACACCTAGGAGTTTTGTGTCGCAAGGTTCTTGTTTACATTGTCATTGGGGATCTGGCCAGGCAGACTAGGAAGGTTATTCGAGTTTATTTTACGCCAGGTTGTTTAGTACTGATGTTAAAAACCGTGCACAAGAATATTCCAGCAACCTCGTTAGTAATTCTAGTAATAAATCAAATGCGTTTGGCCGCGGTCGCAAGTTAAGTGACGTTTTTGCATCAGGGCACGTAACTGATTTTGCTTCGATGAGAGTAGTTTCTGGCCAACAGAAACGGATTGAATCCCGAGGACTATTTAGTGGAAGTTTAATCCTATCTTTATTGCATTTTAGGGTATTGATTGGAAGTGTGTCCGTTACATGATCGCAGAAATTCAATACGGTGGGCGAGTGACGGATGACTTCGACCTGCGCCTCCTAATTACCATCACGCGTGCGTACTTCCAGGAGCGCATGTTCGCCTCCGACTTTGAATTGACTGCAAATTACCCGATCCCTCGGTTTTACACACCCCAAGAGTATTTGAACTATATCGCCAACGAGCTACCGCATCGAGAGTCCCCGGAAGCGCTTGGTCTTCATTCAAATGCGGAGATCACCTACTCGGCTCAGTGCACAAGCTATATTCTATCCACTATCGTGTCAATTCAGCCCAAAGATTCTACTGCCGACTCCAGTGATGAGACATCTGGCGGAGGGACGCCGATGGTTGTGGAGACTCGCGAAGCGGTTGTCCATCGCATGTGCACAGACATGCTTAACAAACTGCCACCAGCCTACGTGGCCTATCAAGTGGCGGAGCAAATTGAGACGCTGGGCTCCTTAAAACCAATGACTATCTTTTTGAGGCAGGAGGTAGACCGCATCAACAAAGTTATCCTACTTGTTGGAAGCACCTTGACTGACTTGCGTTTGGCTATAGACGGAACGGTGGTTATGAATGATGTCCTCAAAGATGCGTTAGACTGTATATACGACGCTCGTGTTCCTGCTGTATGGACCAAGGTAAGCTTGCGCGGACCATATGAGAAGTATAGTTGTATCTAGGTGTCGTAGCTTTATGGGCAGTTGTCGAGCTTAATCAAGCAACTCTAGAGTACAGAAACCTTATATGAGTGTGCCAAACGGTTCGATAGACTGTACACTCAGTGAGTTAATGGAAAGCCATACTTGTCTGTGAGTGCGAGTAGAAATCTACCTGTCTCCACCAGAATATCACTGATTAATTAAAAATCCGTCACCTCTACCCCTACTGTCAATACATTGGATCAAATTTGCTCACTTGCTTCCTCCTCCCTATTGGTCCAGCGTGGTCTGTATCTGAAGAATTGTTCTACCTAACTGCAAGAACGGTTTTTGTACCTTCCCTAGGTTTTAGGTATTTATCTTCGAATGCAGTTACTCGTGATGTATAGTTACCCAGTGCTACTCCCGTCTAACGTGTGAGTAGCTGGCCCTTCTCCAAGTAAACAGCAAACCTTTCGTTAGTGACCCCAAGTTGGTGAGCAGCATTGCAACCTTATTGATCAGGTAGGTCAGCGTACACACCAAGCCGCTCCATATGATTGATAATAAAACGATGGCAGCGTACATAACCGAAAGCAAGAAAGATGTTAAGGAACTTTTTTAGTTACCTAGCTAATTCCATCTGTTTGTGCTCATGCAGTAGTCTCTTACGAAGTCACTTGTCTTCGTCATCTGTACCGTTTGTTACGTGTAATCCTTATTTCGCATTGCTTAAAAGGGCTCATGGGATTCTTCAACACTGGGCTTCTGGTACACTGAGTTACTGGAGCGCAACGCACAATTTAGCTCATGGCTAGAGAATGGCAGACCAGTGTGTTTCTGGATGACCGGTTTCTTTAATCCGCAAGGATTCCTAACAGCTATGCGACAAGAAGTGAGCCGTATGCACGAAGGCTGGTCCCTTGATAGTGTTGTGTTGGCCAGCAAGATGACTCGCGCAAACGCCGAAGATCTGAAGGAGCCTCCGTCGGAGGGTGGGGTGTATGTATATGGGCTGTTTCTCGAAGGTGCCTCATGGGATCGCCGCACATCTCGGTTAGTCGAACCGAGGCCGAAGATTTTATACGACCCAATGGCCGTGCTATGCATCTACGCTGTTCAGGAATCTCAGGTGAACAAAAGACAACTTGGTGGTGGTGGTGGAGGGAGTGGTGAGGCGAAGGGTGACCTTCAACGACAACACTACTCCTGCCCTATTTACAGAAAACCAAGGCGAACGGACTTGACTTACGTCGCCAGTGTTGACCTCGGCTGTACAAAGACAGCAGATCACTGGGTTCTTCGAGGAGTGGCCCTGCTCTGTGATATCAAATAATGGCATTAGGCAGAGTATAATGTATTCGTCGGGGAGTTCGACCTACATGCATTATTTTGCTTTGTCACCAGACGAACTCCAATCCAGTAATATTTCATCCATCCTCTATTTCAGCAAAATATTCCCTCCGCATGGTGTCCGTTTCCATGATATGGACATGTTCAGTTGTTGTCTTTCAAGCCTTCAACAAGTAACAAGGATGAAGACCATGTACAATACTCTGTCTTTTACCTTCCCATAATTTCGGAAGATGGATCAACTCAAGTATTACGCAATAAAGTAATTGCCTTAACCGGCAAAACCCAATAGATGTTTCCCATTTATGTTAATCAACATTGAGCGGTTAGTAACAAAAGATTGTTACCCATGAAAGACCGTCACCTTCGGTAGCTGGATTATAGTTGATAACTGGACTCTACTGTTCGTCTTCACAAGATGTGTAAGTAGAATAAGAAGTTTGGGTTGTGGAATACCTGGCATGCGATCACAAGGAAGAGAACATAGACCAGAGCAGACCTATGTTTTCTAATGGTGTTTTGTAGGTGACCGTAAAGTGACTCGGAAACAAATTCAAGGAAGTGGTATCGGTGCATCAGTTGTTCTAAACGTAGGCTGACCTCTGGTTTTATTCTGAGGCCAGAAAAAGAAGTGGCTTTTTTATCCACGTGCAGCATAACATGTTTGAAACTGAATCTCCATAACTTGACTAGTTGAAGTATCACTCAAACTACAAACATGTCATGTACAGAGCGATCGAACAATGCCAAAATGTAACAATGGTTTTATACGAGTAAAAAAGCTAATGCTTAATAGATCCCGTTGTGGTGAAACATCAAAACGTAACGAATATTGTTAACGAAGTTGAGCTTACACTGGTGAACTCGCTGAAGTATACTTAGTAGAGACTGTAAATCCAAGGTGAATCCATGAGAAATGACGGTAAATTGGATGTTGGTAAAAATCGTGTCTCTTCCTGATGTGCACATATATGAGGTTAAAAAATGGAACGAAATCTGGGATTTGACCACCAGTAAAATCATGTACAGACGCTTGTGTTTATCCATGCGTAAGTTGGTGTAACGAAATAAGTGCACAGTCAACTCGAGCTTTGTACTCTGCCAACGTGGGAACACATGACAGAATCCAGTAGAGAATTCCTCGTACAGCAAACGCGTAAGGAAAAGAAATTCCAACGGCATTCAAATCGGCTGTACTGCTGTGCCAGCTTGATATGATGGCCTCTCAAATTGCTGCTGTGACTGAGATCTAGCAAGCAGTGGTTCGTGTGGTTGGGATCTCTCAAAATCTAGAAAGTCAAAATGTGATTCCCGCGCAATCGCCAATACTGTCCACTGAAGAGCCCAGCACTTGAAGCCTTCGTCCATACGACAAATGATATACGCCCTTGACGTTTTTGGTTGCTCGGCGTTGGGGTATCTCCAAGGCGATGGGATCTGTCTTCAGCCATGGCTGACAGACCTGTATTGCGTATTCCATATGTGGCCGTATGTATGAACCAAGAAGCTGTTGGAAAATCGAACGATCGAATCGTCCGACTGCATGCTTCAGGAGGCTCACTTGTAGATGACATTTCAGTCTGATTCGAACAACGAACAATGGTATATTAGAGGTAAAAAACAGATTGCTTCACAAGTCCCGTAGGACGGTTTAAGTGAAAGCAAACATAAGTGTAAATGTCAATTTAAGCGTCTAGCGAATCAGATGCCCTGCTTCATTAAAACCTTTTAGTATGCGTATGGAATTGTTACTGTAGAGTAATATGGGAAGTATAAAGAATAGTGAACAATGATTTATCACGGTATAAAAGCAAGTGCTTGACACTTCCCGTAGGATGTTTGAGGTGAATATGATGGAATCAAAATATATCTGTGTCATCCACCGAACGTCTGCGGAGATGAATAGTTTGATAATTAACATCAGTGTAAACTTTTTAAAAAATTATCGCGCCTAAACGTTCAGAAAGACACTGGGGTGCAGTGATCATTGAGGTAAGGAGTGAGAAAAGTAAAATATGGTCGCTCACTTAAGTCCATTTGATACATAACTCCTGTTGAAAAGTATCCTTGGCGTAATTCACAATAGAGGAGTTTAGGTAACAAAATTTTGGGAGCTAAGAGCAACATCTAGTCGTTTTTTGAAAACATCCAAGGTAGGAGAGGATACAACTGAGTCTGGGAGTGCATTCCAAGGTTTGCAAACCCGAAGGGAAAAGTAATTCCGTCGACAATTTAGACGGCTGTATTGTTACTTCAACTTTAAGCAGTTACCCCTGAGCTGCGTGTTGTGGCTAAGTTTCAGCAAATGTCGGCATACGTGGTTGGGGTCACTCAGTATCTGATACGCTAATCTGAGATCGCCGCGCAGCCTTCGATAACGTCCGCTGAAAATTCCCAGCAACTTTATCCTTCGGTGGTAAGAGTGATAGCTCAGGCCTTTTACATTCTTTGTTGCTCTTCGTTGTGGTGCCTCTATCGCTTCTAGGTCGCGCTTCAACCAATGTTGCCAAGCTTGGATTGCGTACTCAACATGCGGGCGCACGTAGGAATTGTGCATCATTGTGAAGATTGATGAGTCAAATCTTCTGAATGCCCTTCGCAGCATGCCGACGTGCTGGTTGCCTCTTTTCGCGGCTACCTCAACCTGTTTTGAGCAGTTGAGGTCACACTGTATTATCACACCAAGGTCACGTTCCTGGGAGCTGGTCTGTAATTCGTTTGTCCCAAGTAAATAAGTGTACTATGTCCATGCCGTAATTGTACAACGCGACATTTGTCTATGTTGAACCGTAGGGCGTTTTGAACTGACCAGTTCGACACCGTGTTCAGATCGCACTGGAGCCGTTCATGGTCGTCCGGTCCTCTGATCCTTCGCCATATCTTGATATTATCAGCGAAAAATAGGAAATCGGGAGTAATTGATCTCGCCAAATCGTTAATGAACACTAAGAATAGACGAGGTCTAAGATCCGAGCCTTTTGGTACTCCACACGACGCATCAATTGCATCAGACAATGATTCTCGGACTTTCATATTTAACTGTTGCTTTTGTACAAAACTGCCAATCCAACTCAGGATTGGGTCGGTAATGCCGTAATTCCGAAGCTTCTTAAGGAGAATTCGGTGCTCTAAGCGATCAAATGTTTTTGAAAAGTCCAGGCAGATGACATCGACTCCTACTCCATCAGCAACAGCTTCAGTACAGCTATTACGTGCAATTAATAGGTTAGTATTACACGAATGCTTTTGACGAAAGCCATGTTGCTCTGGGGCTATTAAATTGTGGCTTTCCAGGTATTGCATCAGCGCATCTGCAATGATTGATTCCATCACTTTGGATAGCACAGGAAGTAGTGTTATTGGACGGTAGTTGGCAGGATCAGTGCGGCTACCTTTATGGATTGGAGTGATGATACCTCGCTTCCATACTGGTGGAATACGGTTCTCTTCTAGACATCGTTGATAGAAAACAGCCAGTGGTTCTCCTAGATCACTAGCTACCGTCTGCAGAGCCTTTGGTCGGATGTTGTCGGCTCCGGGAGAACTGTGGATACGCAAGGATAACAACTTCTTCAACACAGCTTCCGCAGTGAAGGTGATGTTTTCTAAACCAGATGGTGGAGTATTAGAAATGAGGAGAATGTTTGTGTTCGTTATCTGCTGGAAAGCTTGGGAATAATGAAGCCGTATGAGATCAGCTGCTTCCATTTCTGATCGAGTGAACACATCAGCCGTGACTAGCGATGGAATCCCCCGCTTCACCTTTCGAAGGCCATTAATGTGCCCGTACAGAAGTTTGCGGCTCGAGCAGAATCGCTTCATTAACTCCTGCTGATGTGTGACCTTGTCTTCGTGGATCAGTTTCACACAGAAGTTACAATGTATCACGTATGCAGTCCAGGTTTCGGCATTCAAGCAGTCCTGGTGATCTCGCCATGCCAAATCCCTCCGGGACACACATTTACGTGTTCTGCTCCTCAGAAATGACTTATGCTTGTTTTTGGGTTGGAAGGACTTCTGTTCTGATGCGTGCGCTATCAGTGTGCTAAAGGTCCTTGTAAAGGTTTCCCAGGAAACATCTGGGGGGAATTCGGTTAAGAAAGTCCAAGATTTGCCCTTCACAAGCTTAGATAACACATAGTAATGCATGACAGTATGCACTTTACCCTCCTCCTTTTCAGGGTACGCTGCATGCCATATATAGTCAAAGGGTAGAGTAACGTGATCACTACGATAAAGTGGTGTGCTTGTAACTATCCCATCAACCATGAGTTCTTCGTTAGTTAGCACAAGATCCAGTATCGACGGCTTGTTAGCAGTTCGAAATCTGGTGGGAGAGGTTACGTGGTTGTACAGAAGGTGGCTAGCAATTAACTCTTGCAAGCAGGCTTTAAACTGCGTACGGTCGGTTGCCGGCGTTTCTATGTCGTGCACGTTAAATTCTCCAGCGATAAGAATGTGGGTGTAGGACTTGTTCAAAACAAACTGAGCAACGTGGTTCAGTTTGGAGTCCATTTCCGACGTTGAGTTTGGTGGGCGATAAATCACGGCTCGTAGACATGTGTCCTTGTTCCGCAACCATAGGCGGCACCAAAGCGAACCGGAAGCTCGGATTTCCAAGCGATCGATAACTTCACATCGAAGGTTTGTATTATAGTAAAGAATCACACCGCCACCCCTTCCGGTTCCATCCGTCCGAAGCAGCGACATACCGGGTAAATTGATCTCAGAATCGGTTATCTAAGGGTTTAACCATGTCTCTGTAATCATGATGAGGTCCAGCGGTTGTAAGGCATGGAGTTCTCGAAGTTCGACCAACTTGCTTAGAAGGCCTTGGGCATTTGTGTACATGCAAGCTATGGCTTTTGTTGTTATGAGTTCACCGATAGATGTTAACTTTGTGTTACTTTTTAAGCCGGCCGTTAAGTGGCCGGCCATTAATCTTTTTTATGTATTTCAGTCATGCTGCATGGCATTATTGAGCGTTCCTGAACACACGGTTCACTCGTGCTGTGCTCAGTCCTGCTGTGTGCCGTGGGCGCTGTTGTGTCGGTCTCTCCGAAGGACTGTGCAAATAAAGAATTTGCAGTTTTTGCAAGTTCCATCGAATTTTTTCCGACTTTTGGTCGTTCGCCTGCTGCCTTTAGCCGGATCTCTGTTGGCAACCTAGCCCGAAACTTTAACCAGCTATCCAACAGAACTTGCGTCATTCCCTCGGAGTGTAGTATTACTTTAATTAAGTGATGAATTACCTCTTGTCAGGGATTTGGCAATAATATCGTCAACAGAGTGCTTCGCGGATGTTGCTCCACTGCTCTCAGTCATGTGTTTGTGCATCGTGATCAGAAGAATGCAGAAGCTCAGGAACTCCATGAACAAATATTGTTTGCTTGCTATCCCTATTAGGAACGCCGCGTTGCTCAACTGCTACTTTTGGGAGATCTTTCTGAGGTAGATCAGGTAATATGCGTACTCCGCTCGGTGAGTTGCGAAGACGAACTGCTGAGAGCAGGACAGCCTCTGTCTCATCTGCTGAGTCTAGTGTTACTCGAAGAATTCGAGGTTCCCCAGAGTGCACTGAGGTCGGGTGACGCGCCACGCATTGCAGCATTGCAGGCTCAACCCGAATACCAATCGCCTCGCAGATGGAACTCCACTGGTTGCGATCGTCTTGCAACTTGCCTTTGATTGTGCCAGATTTGGATTCGGGAACATTGGTGCACACGAGAGTTAAAGCAGCGTAGTTTTGTCTAGCGAGTGTT